CAAGATTAAGAGTGGTATGTCCCACCTGAATCCTCAGATCATATATCAAGATCTATATCAAGAGAATAACCCTACCATTACATGATTGCTACATTATTTCATTACATATATGACAAACCAGAGAATCCTGGACAAACTGATACACAATTCTAACCATTATACTTCATCCTTTGCTAGCTTGGCACTTGTACACATCTCCTTAAATGATCCATAATCTCTAAATAAAACAGTTCTAGAATTATACTCATGCCTAAAAAGATAAAACTAACATATGTACAACCACAGTTGTCGTTGTTAAGGGCTGTCAAGTCAAGTATGACTCATAGCGACCCTATAAACAAAATATATGACCCTTGTTCTATCCTCACACTTCCTGACACACAAGAACCCATTGCAGCAGTTGCTGTGTCAATTCACCTGGTTGAAAGTCTTCCTTTCCCTCTCAGACACTCTACCCTTCCCAGCATCATGTCCTTCTCCAAGGAACATGCCCAAAGTGTATGAAGCACAGCCTCATCATTTTTACCTCCAAAGAGCACTCTGGCTGCAGCCTCTCCAAGACAGATCTGTATGTTCTCTTGGCCATCCATGGATGCTAAATGCTCTTGTCCAACACCACAGCTCAAAGGTGCCAATTCTTTTTCTGTTACCCTTATTCATTGTCCAGCTCTCAGATGTGGAACATATACCTGGACCAGAGGCTGTTGTGTGAATAGAGCAGGGGGACACTGCATGGTTTAAAATTGAGAAGGGAGTGCACCGGGGTTGTTTTATCTCTCCATATCTACTCAGATTATCCAAGAAGCTGGACACTGTGAAGAGGAGTACGTCTTCAAGATTGGAAGGAGACTCATTGATAACCTGCATTAAGCAGATGACACAGCCTTGCTTGCTGAAAGTGAGGAAGACTTGATGCACTTGTTGCAGATTAAGGAATGTAGCCTTCAGTATGGATTGCATCTCAATGCCAAGAAAACAAAGAATCTTATCACTGGACTGATATGCAGCATCATGATGGATGGAGAGGAGATTGAAACTGTCAACAGCTTCATCTTGCTTGGATCCACAATTAACACCCTTAGTACCAGCAGTCAGGAAATAAGGTGACACATTGCACTGGGAAAATCTGCAGTTAGGGAACTCTCCAAATTACTGAGGAGTGGTGATGTCTGTTTGAGGACTAAGGTGTGTCTGATTCAGGCCATAGTCTTTGCAATTGCTTGCTATGCATCAGAAAGCTGAACAATGAATAGGGATGACACAGAAAGAATTGTTGCCTTGGAGCTGTGGTGTTGGAGAAGACTACTGAACTACCCATGGAAGGCCAAAAGAACAAACAAGTAAGTCTTGGAGAAGGTGTAACCAGAGTGCTCTTTGGAGGCTTCACCTCACATGCTTTAGGCATATTGCTAGGAGGTGCTATTCTTTGGAGAAGGACATGATGCTGGGAAAGATGGACGGTCAGCAAAGGAAAGGAAGACCCTCAACCAGGTGTACTGACACGGTGACTGCTGCAATGGACTCTTGTGTGTCAGGAAGTGTGAGGATGGTACAGGATGGAACAGAGTTCAGATCTTTGGTTCAAAAGGTCATTATGAGTCATACTCGATTAGAAGGCACCTACCTCCACCATCAAACTAGACTTTACCATGTGGATGGGTTGTTGTTGTGTTGTTAAGTGTCTTTGAGTCGCAGGCGACTCATAGTGACCCTATAAAGGAGAGTCCTCGACACTTGGGTGCCTTTCATCCTCTCTCCAGGTTCATAGGGTTTCCGGAGGCAATCTATTATGGAAGTGGATGCCACTCCTCCTTCCAATCTTGTTTTCATCGGGGAGCTCCACCCCGCTCTCTGTCCACATTGGGTAGTCAACCATTAACACATTTGACACATCAGTGTCACAGTTGTGGATTGGTAGGAATATGTAAATAGGATATGTTAACCTATCTACAAGAGGATTGGCTATCTCACTAATCTATAAGGGGATTGGCTATCTCACTAGTCCACAAGGGGTTTGGCTAGTCTTACCATTAAATTGAATAACCTAGCAGCATTTGAAAAAAAAATCTCCCCCACAAGTGAAGAAGCAGCAACAGCAAGAGAATGCAACTTGTCCTTCAAAATCAGAGCAACAGCCATAGCAGCCACAGAGGAGGACCAAAGATCTGACATGAAACAAAGCAGACCTTGGTAAAGCTGTCCCCCACAGACAGAACCAGCGCTAAGGTAAAAGGCTTTATCCAAGTTTCCTGGACTACTTGGGGGTAAGGAGAAAGACCAATATTGGTAGGACTGAGAACTTTTAACAGTGGTCTAAAACCATGAAGCTCAAGGTTGAGGTGACTGTACATTTCAGAAGCTGTCCTAACTTTATCCTGCTACTCACCTGGATTATAACTTTATTACTTCCCTAACATTGTTCTGTGTGGTCTGTGAGTTATCTCATTGGATTTTGGACCCAGCAAAGCAGTAAGATTGGTGTTGAGAGGAGTAGAAAGAGGTTCAGGAGCGTGGCGGACATGTCTGACCTCATGGGAATTTGTTTTTTGTTGTTTAGGCTATTGACAGGAACAATCCCCTTTGTGAAGTTCATACATGTCAGATATGATTGTCCCCATGTGACCCTTGCTGTTTTAACACTCTTGCTGTTAAGTGATGTTGACTTGTAGACTACTCATAGCAACCCTATGAATGAAAGGTCTGAACCCTGTTGTATAACTATCATCATTTCTCTAAATTCTGGAGTTTCTGGAGGCAAGCTACTTTGAAAGTGGATACCACTCCTCCTTGCAAGCCTGTTTTAATCTGGAAGCTCTACCAAACACTGTTCACCATGGGTAACCATTATCTCATTTGTCACATCAGTGTTAAAGTGTTTAGCATCACAGCAACCACCAGTTACTTCTGCATGGCAAATTGACATAACAGTGCTATTCTACTTAGAAGAATGTTTGACCTAAAATGATTAAAACCAGGCCTGAGGGCCGAAAGGCATTTTAACATTGTTGTTGTTGTTAGGTGTCCTCCTAGATGACTCATAGCAACCCTATGAGTGAAAGACCTTAACACTTGTATAACTTTCATTGTTTCTCCACTATCATAAAGTTTCCAGAGGCAAGCTATTTCAGAAGTGGATGCCATTACTACTTCCAAGTTTGTATTAATCAGGAACTCCACCAAACACTATCCACCATGCATAACCATTATTGCATTTGACACATCAGTGTCACAGTGTTTAGCATCACAGCAACCACCAGTTACCCTTGTACAGCAAATGGACAGACAAGCTATACCTCTTAAAAGAATGTTTGACAAACCACAATTAAAACCAGGCCTGAGGGCCACAGACTAAAATCACCCACCTTTGGCTTGGTAGCATAACTTTATATCCACTAGGGCAACAGGGCTGTATGTTGTTGTTAGGTGCCGTTGAGTTGTAGATGATTCATGGCGACCCTATAAACAAAAGACCTGAACACTTGTATAACTTTCATCATTTCTCCTGGAGGCAAGCTATTTGTGGTTGCTGTGATGCTAAACACTGTGACACTGATGTGTCAAATGCAATAATGGTTATGCATGGTGAACAGTGTCTTAATCAGGTAGAGCTCCTGGATTAAAACAAGCTTGGAAGCAGAAATGGCATCCACTTCCAAAATAGCTTGCCTCCAGAAACTCTATTTTAACACTAGAGTTGCCAAAATATTTGAAAATCTGTATAAAGACAGAAATAGCCCATCCTAACAATGATACGTCTTGGGTATTATACTGTGGAGTCAGATATTTCTGAAAAATCATTTGTCTGTATAAATAATTATACAGCATGATCCTTTTGTAAAAAAAATTAATAATATTCAGATTACTGTCAAATTGCAACAATTCTGTAATAGAAATCTGGCTTTAATAAACTAAAACCCAGTTGAATTTATTATTTATTGTTTGATTTAGCAGCAGCTTCTTTTTTTTTTATTTAAATCAGTTTTATTTAAGAATTTCCAACATTGACAACTCTTATAAAAAGCATCCAAGCACAGAACACAGAACTGCAGCAAACAGCATTCTTATGGGGAGCTAACAGACATTAGAACTTCCACCCTTCTTTGA